TGAGAATTGAGTCTCGATTTAAATCAATTCACAATCAGTATTAACAAAGAGTGTCAGCTCCAGGATGAACTACGTTCTTGTACAAGTTAGTTAAAGCTATGGGACATTTCTGTTTGACTTTAAACTGGTCATGCTCCAAAAATGCTAATTTACAAGTAGAGGTGCTGAAAAAAAATCGACTCAAGTCTGAATCGGGATTCTTATTTATAAAGATTCAGAATCAATTCACAAAGGTTCAAAATCGATTCCAGGAACTGAAATATTTGGCACGTTACAGGTCTGAGACGCACTTTTTTGATCTTTGTTAGGAGAGTCAGTACTCCGTTTACTTTTGTGGTCCCATAAATTGAGATGATTTATGTTTGAATCTGCTGATAAGAGGGCACTTGAATGTAATTTTTTCCATACTCATTAATTTGAGATATTCTCATTTATTTTCTAAGTTGATAAATGAGTACTCAGGATTACTCATGTAACTTGTTTCTACACATACTTGAAAAGTATTTGACCGTATTACTTTCAAAGCTACTGTTAGGTAACTACAGATTTGTTATATTTTACAAGGTAAGCAAAAATAAATGTTGCCTTTTGGTCAAAAGATTGTTTCTGTTTACAGTTTTAGAATCACTTTAGTTTACATTATAAATTAGCTTTTTTTGGAGCATGACCAGTTTAAAGTCAAATAAAAATGTCCCACAGCTTTAACTAACTTGTACAACAAAGTAGTTCATCCTGGAGCTGACACTCTTTGTTAACATTGATTGTGAATTGATTTAAATCGAGAATTGATTCTGAATCGAATAGACACCCAGAGAATCGGAATCAAATCAAATCGTGAGTTGCTCTAAGATTCACATCCCTATTTACAAGGTAAACTAAAGTGATTCTAAAACTGTAAACAGAAACAATCTTTTGACCAAAAGGCAACATTTATTTTTGCTTACCTTGTAAAATATAACACATCTGTAGCTACCTAACAGTAGAGGTGGGAAAAATGATCGATTCTAAGATGCATCACGATTCAGCCGTGCACGATTCCGCATCGATGCAGCAACGTGACATAATGAGATTCTCTCCCTATGTCTATGTCGGGGGTCGGCAACCGCGGCTCTGGAGCCGCATGCGGCTCTTCCATCCATCTGATGCGGCTCTCTGTGCTTATAAAATAATGAATGGATATTTAAATAAAATGCTTTATATTTTACTGCATTAATTTTACATCTGTATGCCAATTCTAAATGTAAAGATTGTCTGCGTAAACCTGAACAGGTCCAACCCGGTCTTACTGTGAGACCGGGTTGACGCGTCACGTTTGTGCGTAATCATAAAGGCGCATTCTGAGCTGACGAGGACGTGAGATTCTGGGATTCTCCTCAGCTCCTGGATGTGTCGCCACACTGGAGACAGGAACAAGCGCTATTCAGCCAAAGTTTCATAATCAGGGAACATTTTCTAAGTGACAAGTCTCGCTTCAGTCGGAGGAATCTTCCTGCATGCGCTCTGGTTCTGCGACGTGCTCCAAGCCCCTCTCCACAACTTCAGCTCGCTGTGCGCCGTACGTACGCGCTGACAGCGAGCTGTGCTGAGCTCAGTGTCCAGCTCAGATGGGAATCATTTAGCTACATCTGCGCGAAACGAATAAAGTGTCAGTTCGTCTGCATGCGTCGGGGTAGTTCTTTCTATTCTTTCTCCGTCAAAATAAACGGTTAAATACGGGAACTGTCCGGTCAACACAACACAAGCCCTGCTTTTAACTGTTCTGTTTTCTTGTGAAAATTGTTGCAAAGAGATATAATTTAACCTGATTAACACCAGAGCCAGGCGCACTGCGCCGTTGTCTCCGTCACTGTAAATGAGGGAAAAACAAAATGATCGGATCCTTTTCTGACCTTCCACACCTACAAAGTTTAATTACAACAATCAAACGTGACAGAGCCTGGATTTGTGTTCTGAACAGTCTAAACATGTTTTAAAAAGAAACGTATGACAAAAGTGGCACGTGCTCAGTAAAACCACCAACAGGGTGAAAAATATCAAAATACTGTAGGCAGAGACGGGCTACAACTTCTGGATCCACTTTATATAAATCGTTTTATTGATTATCGTCTTATGAAAGACAGCTTTGACGTACAAGAGCGACCGACCGGTACCGGCTGCTGTCTGAGGGTAGGCCCCGCCCACAACGCCGCGGCTGCTGCGGTGTTTTCTTTACTGTGGGAAACGGGTAATAATGGCTCTTTGATGGGAACAGGTTGCCGACTCCTGGTCTATGTCTATGCAGGACAATAAAGTTTTGAGGTTTTATAATTACTTCTGGGGGCAGAGTTGCAATGACATGCGCACTGCGTTGCCCTAGCGCCAATTTAAAACAGAAAAGGCGGACAGGGATACAGGGCCAACATTACCAGCAATCAAAGATGTACCCGTTACATTTAAATCAGATGTCTGGGCTAATTTCTGTTTTGGGATCCTGGATGTGAAAGAACCACTTGACACAGTATTTGTTTACTATGTTTAAGTTCAGTAATATTCTATCTTAAAGCTGCTCTACTGAAAACATTATTTCTTATATTATTTAAGTAATTATAGGCAGCACACTTTAAACATTATTGCTCACTATAGTGAATAGATGAATGTTCTATTTTTCAGGGATTTCTAAATCAAAAAGAAATTGAAAACTATTCTACTGCTTTTATTAAGTAATGAAAATTTTTGTGTGAAGAATCGTGATGCATTTCAGACTCAAATCGAATCGTTAGGCAGATAATCGGAATCGGATCGAATCGTGAGGTGGGTAGAGATGCACACCACTACCTTACAGTAGCTTTCAAAGTAATACAGTCAAATACTTTTCAAGTATCTGTGGAAACAAGTTTAACATTTGAGTCCTCAACCTGTTTAAAAAAGTGCCTCAGATTTCTTACAAAGGAAAATGTGTTCTCTCATTATCTACAACTTAAAATAAATACATGAGTAATCCTGAGTACTCGTTTATCAACTTAGAAAATAAATGAGAATATCTCAAATTTATGAGTACAGAAAAAATTACATTCAAGTGCCCTCTTATCAGCAGATTCAAACATAAATCATCTCAATTTAGGGGACCACAAAAGTAAACGGAGTACTGACTCTCCTAACAAAGATCAAAAAAGTGCATCTCAGACCTGTAACGTGCCAAATATTTCAGTTCTTGGAATCAATTCTGAACCTTTGTGAATCGATTCTGAATCTTTAAAAATAAGAATCCCGATTCAGACTTGAATCGATTTTTTTCAGCACCTCTATTAGCACATCAAACTAGCTTTTGCTTTTACCACAACACTCATGAAAGACTGGGTGACAGCCAACAGACCCTCATTTGACCAGTAGCCAGGTTTGAATTGTAGTGAAAGTAAGGAAGAGTATGGAAAAACACTCGCCACAGACTTCATTCTAGTTTTGAAAAAGAAAAGTGATCTGATCCCAAAATCTGGGTGCTTTTCGTACGTTGTGCACTAGTCTTGGGCGGTATACCGGTTCATACCGAAAACCGGTATTTATTTTGGGGATTATATGAATTTTTCACATACCGCTATACCGGTGAATGGCTTAGACTACGTACAGAACGTTCGTAGTAGGAAAGTGTTTCAGTGGGGACTCATTTCACTGCTACACAGAAACACCACAGCGTGGTGAAACCAAGAATGGCGGCTGGCGGGAGCGGTCACGGCGACATCAAAACTTCGAACGCAGAAGAATTTATTCCAAAAAGAGGAGCCACGTCTGTTGTTTGGAGGTTTTTGGGTTTAAAAGTTCGGACGTGGAACAAACAACTTTTATATGCTAATGCTGTCGAGCAACGTGATAGCCGGAGGGGGTAATACCAGCAACTTGCTTCATCACCTCAGCCGAAAACACGTCTTGGATCACCGAGAATGTCTCAAGCTTCGATCTGCACCCTCCACCTCCAAGGCTAAAACAGCTAGTAGCAGTCGGAGTCAGACGTCCATTAAAGACACGTTCGCTAAAGGGACTGTTTATAAAAAAAGCAAGCGGTGGGTCGAGATAACCAACACAATGACGTTGGATGTTAAATCATAGAGATGGTTAACTGCACAGATTAAATGCAAAATGTGTTCAATAAAAATTGTTTATTTTGACTGCAATATTTTATCTTTCTAGTGGTTTTTTCTTAACTGCTTTCTTTTGACAAGGGTACTTTGAAGGGTTTCTGCGTTTACCTACCTGTGACTGGACATGGAAAAACTGGTATTCTGCACATGAAGGTAAAACGGGCTACTTAAGGCCAATCTAGTGCAGTAATTATTTTCTTATAAAAATAATCTGAGTAATCACGGCCTTGTGAAAAATACCGTCAAATACCGTAAAACCGATATAATTTTAAAAAATACCGTGATATGACATTTTTGCCATACCGCCCAGGCCTATTGTGCAGATAAAATATGGATATGATCAATATTAGACCATAGCCTTGGTCTAAATCTAGGATATGGAGAGTTACAACAGCTCTGAACACACTGTTGTGCTAGGATGAAAAACATTTCTCCTGAAAGTTTGTGTCATTTTAAAATAAAAATATGGGCCATAACCTTAACTTCTGTGTTGCCGACTGATCCCATTCATACAAATCTACAGAGCGCATCGTCTGTCGGACATCTTCCACACAAGGGCCAGGTAATAAAAATCCTCTCAACAGCGAGACGATTCGGAAAGACCGGGCTCTGGTCCGTCAGAGCACAGGAAGACATTTTCTAATCACGCTAACCTGATGGAAAAGACGGAGACGCCGTCATCGTGATCAGTCAGGCTCAGTGACAGACGAGCAAACACACCAGGTGAGTGGCAGCTGGAGATAAATCACCAGGTTGTAATTTCCAAGCAATTTGACTCTAAATCAAGCCATCCCAAAGTTAATGAGCAGGGAAAACAAAGTTTGACACTTTATCCTTTACGTGTCAACTACGAGCTGTTCCATCACATTTACCAAACACCGCTCTCACCTCATACTCTCTGACCACCCTCATGCCTCGACCGCCGCCTCCGTACGCAGCTTTGAAGATGATGGGGAAACCATACGTCTGGGCGAATGCCTGCGCCTCCTGCAGACTGGCGATGGGCGCGTCTGTCCCTGGGACCACAGGTACACCTATGCAGGACAGGAAAGGTCACAAATGTAACCTGTGGTCCACTAGTTACGCTCTAAAGGACTGGTTTAGTTACTGTCAAACTAAATATGGCATCTTCACACTATGGCAGGCGTTTCCTTTACCAGCACTGATGGCCAAAGAGCGAGCCTCCACCTTGTCTCCCATCTTTCGGACCGTTTCTGGGCTCGGTCCAACAAACATCACTCCTGCGTCTGCACAGGCCTGAGCGAAGTCTGCGCGCTCAGAGAGGAAACCGTAGCCAGGGTGGATAGCATCCACTTTGTTGTCCTGAGAAAACACACAAAAAAATAAAATCAGCATTAAAGCAGAGTCAAAATGAAACCATACAGGGCTTCAGCAGAACAAGAAGCTGAGCAGAACTTCTGGCGAGCCTTAATGGTTGAGTTCACATCACAACCAGAACAAAGTACTGATACGTAGGACTTTCATACTCAAGAGCTACAACAGACCACTGTTTCTGCGTTTTCGTGTATCTAGTTGGGTGAATGGCCTCTGTTCAGACAAACTGCAGGCCATACGCTCCAACAGCTGGTCCAAAGAGTCTCTCTGGCATCTAAGAACTGCTCCGATCTCCAGAACTTTACAGTGGTTCAGGTCACATTATCCTACAAACCTTTACGCTACCATCAGTTTGACATTCACTGCTTTTTACGTGGACTTCTTTGGTTATTTCTTAATATTTCAGACACAAATCACGCAATGGTAAACCGACAGCAGCGTAAAGGTTCAGAAGTAAATAAAACTGATCAACTTCAGTCATCTGAGCCATTTTAGGATGTGATAACTGCTAGTCTGAGCTCTGCCAGGACTAGTGGTTATCCCATAAGTACTTCAGGACAAACACGGTTTATCCAACCAGAGGCTGTTAAGGAACCTCAAGTTACTTTTCTATTTAACCAAAAGTCAGAAACTTTTATTTTGTATGCTTTCATTTTCAGTTCTTAAAGAAAACCGGTCATTTATAAAATTTTAAGGTAAACAAAAACAATCAAGATTTATGCATGCTTACAGACTTAACTGTAACTAATGGTAACTTACCATAGCTAATGGTAACTTTCTGTAACTAACGGTAACTTACCGTAACTGATGGCAACTTACTGTAACTAATGGTTGCTTACCATAACTAATGGTAACTAATGGTAACTGATAGTAACTGACAGTAACTTACGGTAACTGATGGTAACTTACCATAACTCATGGTAACTTACCGTAACTAATGTAACTGATGGTAATTTACCATGGCTAATGCAACGAATGGTAACTTACCATACCTAATGCAACTAATGGTAACTTACCGTAAATAATGTAACTAATGGTAACTTACCGTAACTAATGGTAACTTTCTTTAACTAACGGTAACTTACCGTAACTGATGGCAACTAACCGTAACTAATGGTTGCTTACCATAACTAATGGTAACTAATGGTAACTGATGAAAACTGATGGCAACTTACTGTAACTAATGGTGACTTACCTTACCTAATGCAATTAATAACTTACTGTAACCAGTGGTTGGTTACTGTAACAAATGGTGACTTACCTAATGTAGCTAATGGTTACTTACTGTAACTAATGGTGACTTACCTTATCTAATGCAACTGAAGGTAACTTACTGTAACTACTGGTAACATAGTGAACAATGGTTACTTACTGTAACTAATGGTGACTTATCTTACCTTATTTAACTGAAGGTAACTTACTGTAACTAGTGGTAACTTACTGTAACTAATGTAAGTGATGGTAACTTACTGCAATTAATGGTGACTTACCTTACCTAATGTAACTGATGGTAACTTACCGTAACTAATGGTGACTTACCTTACCTAATGTAATTAATAACTTACTGTAACCAATGGTTACTTACTGTAACTAATGGTGACTTATCTTACCTTATTTAACTGAAGGTAACTTACTGTAACTAGTGGTAACTTACTGTAACTAATGTAACTGATGGTAACTTACCGTAACTAATGGTGACTTACCTTACCTAATGTAATTAATAACTTACTGTAACCAATGGTTATTTACTGTAACTAATGGTGACTTACCATAACTAATTACCGTATTGTAACTGATAGTAACTTATGGTAATTAAATGTAACTTACCATTGTAATGGTAACTGGAAACCAATTGTAACTAAATAATTAATGGTAACTGGTAGTAACTAATTGTAAAAAAATTTAACTTGTTGTTACTGATAGTAATAGAGTTACAGAACACAAGGTTACAATCACCAAAAGTAATTATCAACCCAATGGAGACCATGCCTGAATACAAAGTACCTGAATATGTGTGTAAATGAACAGTAAATAGCATATAGTGGCTGCAGAAGCTAACAGATAGAGTCATCTCTGGATCAGTATGTGCCATCTGCTCAAGGCGGGATATAATTATGGGCCATCTTGTTGTTCTGGGAGCGATTGCTGCCAGGCCAGAGAAGGCCTGTTGCCACATAGATACCCACACCTCCACACCCACACACACATCCCCACACACACCCACACAGGTTCAGACACCTTCGTCCAAATGCAGGGAGACCTAACAGGTAGATGAAAAAGCAGACACACAGACACAAACACACACACACACACACACACACACACTAGGAGGCGCGCACACACACATTCACAGAAGAACAGATGCTCAGAAGATCTCAGCCACACGAAGGAACCTTTTCACATCCAACAATTTGCAAAAACAGACAAAAAGGTATAAAAATACGATATTTGTCTAACAGAAAAAGTGGCAGTGTGAATGACGAGTACAAATACTCAGATTTTCATAAAGAATGAAACAACAAACACACAAGCACGCACGCATGCACACACACACACACACACACCTTGCTGGCATTGACTGGCTGGGCTCCCTGACAGGCAGACTGATTTTGAAAAATGAGTTGGACGGAGAAGCCTCCCAACTCGGCTGGAAGACCACATGCCCAGGTAGAAAATTGTAAACCATGAGAGACAGATCAGGAAAATGACAAAAAGCAACTGGCTGATCCTGGAACGATGGAGAGGAGGAAAGCGCGGTAAGGGGAAACGAGGAGGAGATGGGATCAGTACAGTGATAAGAAGCAGCAGGAAATTAAGGTGAGAGGAAAATAGGACATGTTCCTGGATAATTTGGACATGGTACACGAACTCTGAAACAAAAAACAACAGAAAGGCACAGATGTGCCAAAGATCAACCTTTCTATAGTAAACTAGATAGGACCATGTGATTTTCACCATGTAGAAAATGAGCTCACATTCTTGGATTTACTCCTTAAGAACTACATTAACGGTTATAACATCTGCCAATATGTCAACGTGATCTAATACTTCTTTAAAGGCTACATATGTTATGGAGAGCTGGGTTTGAAGAGGTCTGCTGCAGGCTAATTACACTCAACATAACGCTTACAGCACAACAGCTATGATTATGGAGAACGACTTGTCACTCAGACTGTGTGTGTGTCTGTGTGTCAGTGTGTCTGTGTCTGTGTCTGTGTCTCTGTGTGTGTGTGTGTGTGTGTGTGTGTGTGTGTGTGTGTGTGTGTGTGTGTGTGTGTGTGTGTGTGTGTGTGTGTGTGTGCGTGCGTGCGTGCGTGCGTGCGTGCGTGCGTGCGTGCGTGCGTGCGTGCGCGCGCGCGCGACTGGACCCAATAATAAATCATGTCAACCAGCAAAATGATGAAATCAGAACAGACAGAATACTTTTCATATATAATCTTTGTTTTTATTTAAAAAAAGAATAAAAGCCTGTTAAATAAGGCTTTTCTTTAAAATAATATCTTCAATCAGATTGAAGCCAGTTAACTCCATATTGGAGCAGCTGGAAGCTGTTTAGATATACTAAATAATAGATTTACTTAATGAATATTAACTTCTAATGTCTTTTTTCTTACAGGAAAAACTTGTGTTAAGTACTTTCTTTTACAAGAAAGGGTTGAGTGTCTGACTGAAAGGACGGGTAGATTTTAAGGGATTTTATTACAGCCTTGAATTAGGGATGTTTAGCCTTTTGACCCATGCGATGACATAGTCTGACTCTACATTACTGATACCGTAATAAACCAATTCCAATACATGCCGAGTCAATGGGTCCGTTTTCTCTATATAATAAGCACCCTGGCCATCATTTGAAGTTGCTGATTATCTTTGTTATAAATTGTATTTCCTACCAGTTTTTGCACATTGTTTCTAATTGGTTACTGTTTCCTTTGTTGAATTTCAATAATTGCAGAAACTACAGTATAAAGAAGGCTTTTAGGCAAAATGAAAGGCCTGCTTTTTTCAGATGCAGCCAAAGAAAAATAACTTCACACAAGAAACAAGTTGAGACCATTTGACAACTAAAGATCTAAATTATTCTTAAACAGTGTTCAGTTACAGTCAAAGTTAAACTTTTGAAAAGATCAGGTCAGAATGGATAAAAAAAAAAAAAAAGAGGACAATGATTTTTATCTCAAGCATTTATGCTTGAAGACTTCTGGGAACTCACTTCAATTTAAGCAAATTAAAAATTAAATCTGAATACATACATGACAAGAGGGAACTCGGTTTGCCAGAATTATATTAAGAGCCCTTTACCTTGGCAACTTTAATGATGTCTGCAATGTCCAGGTAGGCAGCGACAGGTGGCAGTCCTTTCCCAATCAGGTAAGCCTCATCTGCCTTCTGCCTGTGAATACAAAGGTTTATGTTAACCTCTTTTTGTCATTGGGGAGGAATTTCCTGGATGAATAACGTTAACAGTAGCGCCAGGTACTTTTCATTATTTATTGTTTTGGTGTGTAAAGGAGAGTAAAACGTAAAGAATTGTATTGTCTGTCTAGTTTTTTAATGTATATCATATGATCTTCACCATATTGTGACTTTTATCATATTGTCCCCTCTGTATTGTAATTAATACTGTGATTTATATTGTCGTCTCCCCTGTATTGTGTTTTTTTACCTTATCATCTACCCATATTGTATGTTTTTCATTGTATTGTCTCCCCTGTATTGTTTTTTTTACCGTATCATCTCCCCTGTGTCGCGTTTTTCATCGCATCGTCTCCCGTGTCGCGTTTTTCATCGCATCGTCTCCCCTGTGTTGCGTTTTTTATCGTATCTTCTCCCCTGTGTCGCGTTTTTTATCGTATCGTCTCCCCTGTGTCGCGTTTTTTATCGTATCGTGTCCCCTGTGTTGCGTTTTTCTCGTATCGTCTCCCCTGTGTCGCGTTTTTATCGTGTCGTCTCCCCTTTATTGTGTTTTTATCGTGTCGTCTCCCCGTATTGTGTTTTTATAGTATCGTCTCCCCGTATTGTGTTTTTCATCGTGTCGTCTCCCCGTATTGTGTTTTTCATCGTGTCGTCTCCCCTGTGTCGTGTTTTTCATCGTGTCGTCTCTCCTGTGTCGTGTTTTTCATCGTGTCATCTCCCCTGTGTCGTGTTTTTATCGTGTCGTCTCCCCTGTGTCGTGTTTTTCATCGTGTCGTCTCCCCTGTGTCGTGTTTTTCCATCGTGTCGTCTCCCCGTGTCGTGTTTTTCATCGTGTCGTCTCCCCGTATTGTTTTTCATCGTGTCGTCTCCCCGTATTGTTTTTCTCGTGTCGTCTCCCCTGTATTGTGTTTTTATCGTGTCATCTCTCTTGTATTGTGTCATCTCCCCTGTATTGTATTTTTATCGTATCGTCTCCCCTGTATTGAGTTTTTCATCGTATCGTCTCCCCTGTATTGTGTTTTTATCATATCGTCTCCCCTGTATTGTGTTTTTATCGTATTGTCTCCCATGTATTGTTTTTATCGTATCGTCTCCCCTGTATTGTTTTTACCGTATCCCCTGTATTGAGTTTTTCATCGTATTGTCTCCCCTGTATTGTTTTTATCGTATCGTCTCCCCTGTATTGTGTTTTTATCGTGTCATCTCTCCTGTATTGTGTCATCTCCCCTTTATTGCATTTTTATCGTGTCATCTCTCCTGTATTGTGTCATCTCCCGTGTATTGTATTTTTATCGTATCGTCTCCCCTGTATTGAGTTTTTCATCGTATCGTCTCCCCTGTATTGTGTTTTTATCGTATCCCCTGTATTGTGTTTTTATCGTATCCCCTGTATTGAGTTTTTTATCGTATCGTCTCCCCTGTATTGTTTTTATCGTATCGTCTCTCCTGTATTGTTTTTATCGTATCGTCTCCCCTGTATTGTTTTTATCGTATCGTCTCCCCTGTATTGTTTTTATCGTATCGTCTCCCCTGTATTGTTTTTTTTACCGTATCATCTCCCCTGTGTCGCGTTTTTCATCGCATCGTCTCCCGTGTCGCGTTTTTCATCGCATCGTCTCCCCTGTGTTGCGTTTTTTATCGTATCTTCTCCCCTGTGTTGCGTTTTTTATCGTATCGTCTCCCCTGTGTCGCGTTTTTTATCGTATCGTCTCCCCTGTGTCGCGTTTTTCATCGTATCGTCTCCCCTGTGTCGCGTTTTTCTCGTATCGTCTCCCCTGTGTCGCGTTTTTATCGTGTCGTCTCCCCTGTGTCGTGTTTTTATCGTGTCGTCTCCCCTTTATTGTGTTTTTATCGTATCGTCTCCCCTGTATTGAGTTTTTCATCGTATCGTCTCCCCTGTATTGTGTTTTTATCATATCGTCTCCCCTGTATTGTGTTTTTATCGTATTGTCTCCCATGTATTGTTTTTATCGTATCGTCTCCCCTGTATTGTTTTTACCGTATCCCCTGTATTGAGTTTTTCATCGTATTGTCTCCCCTGTATTGTTTTTATCGTATCGTCTCCCCTGTATTGTGTTTTTATCGTGTCATCTCTCCTGTATTGTGTCATCTCCCCTGTATTGTATTTTTATCGTATCGTCTCCCCTGTATTGAGTTTTTCATCGTATCGTCTCCCCTGTATTGTGTTTTTATCGTATCCCCTGTATTGTGTTTTTATCGTATCCCCTGTATTGAGTTTTTTATCGTATCGTCTCCCCTGTATTGTTTTTATCGTATCGTCTCCCCTGTATTGTTTTTATCGTATCGTCTCCCCTGTATTGTTTTTATCGTATCGTCTCCCCTGTATTGTTTTTTTACCGTATCGTCTCCCCTGTGTCGCGTTTTTCATCGCATCGTCTCCCGTGTCGCGTTTTTCATCGCATCGTCTCCCCTGTGTTGCGTTTTTATCGTATCTTCTCCCCTGTGTTGCGTTTTTTATCGTATCGTCTCCCCTGTGTCGCGTTTTTTATCGTATCGTCTCCCCTGTGTCGCGTTTTTTATCGTATCGTCTCCCCTGTGTCGCGTTTTTCTCGTATCGTCTCCCCTGTGTCGCGTTTTTATCGTGTCGTCTCCCCTGTGTCGTGTTTTTATCGTGTCGTCTCCCCTTTATTGTGTTTTTATCGTGTCGTCTCCCCGTATTGTGTTTTTCATCGTGTCGTCTCCCCGTATTGTGTTTTTCATCGCATCGTCTCCCCGTATTCTGTTTTTCATCGTGTCGTCTCCCCTGTGTCGTGTTTTTCATCGTGTCGTCTCCCCTGTGTCGTGTTTTTATCGTGTCGTCTCCCCTGTGTCGTGTTTTTCATCGTGTCGTCTCCCCTGTGTCGTGTTTTTCATCGTGTCGTCTCCCCGTATTGTGTTTTTATCGTGTCGTCTCCCCGTATTGTGTTGTCTCCCCTGTGTCGTGTTTTTATCGTGTCGTCTCCCCTGTGTCGTGTTTTTATCGTGTCGTCTCCCCTGTGTCGTGTTTTTATCGTGTCGTCTCCCCTGTGTCGTGTTTTTATCTTATTGTCTCCCCTGTATTGTGTTTTTCATCGTATCGTCTCCCCGTATTGTTTTTATCGTATCGTCTCCCCTGTATTGTGTTTTTATCGTGTCATCTCTCCTGTATTGTGTCATCTCCCCTTTATTGCATTTTTATCGTATCGTCTCCCCTGTAATGTGTTTTTATCGTGACATCTCTCCTGTATTGTGTCATCTCCCCTGTATTGTATTTTTATCGTATCGTCTCCCCTGTATTGAGTTTTTCATCGTATCGTCTCCCCTGTATTGTGTTTTTATCGTATCCCCTGTATTGCGTTTTTATCGTATCCCCTGTATTGAGTTTTTTATCGTATCGTCTCCCCTGTATTGTTTTTATCGTATCGTCTCTCCTGTATTGTTTTTATCGTATCGTCTCCCCTGTATTGTTTTTATCGTATCGTCTCCCCTGTATTGTTTTTATCGTATCGTCTCCCCTGTATTGTTTTTTTTACCGTATCATCTCCCCTGTGTCGCGTTTTTCATCGCATCGTCTCCCGTGTCGCGTTTTTCATCGCATCGTCTCCCCTGTGTTGCGTTTTTTATCGTATCTTCTCCCCTGTGTTGCGTTTTTTATCGTATCGTCTCCCCTGTGTCGCGTTTTTTATCGTATCGTCTCCCCTGTGTCGCGTTTTTCATCGTATCGTCTCCCCTGTGTCGCGTTTTTCTCTTATCGTCTCCCCTGTGTCGTGTTTTTATCGTGTCGTCTCCCCTGTGTCGCGTTTTTATCGTGTCGTCTCCCCTGTGTCGTGTTTTTATCGTGTCGTCTCCCCTTTATTGTGTTTTTATCGTGTCGTCTCCCCGTATTGTGTTTTTATAGTATCGTCTCCCCGTATTGTGTTTTTCATCGTGTCGTCTCCCCGTATTGTGTTTTTCATCGTGTCGTCTCCCCGTATTGTGTTTTTCATCGTGTCGTCTCCCCTGTGTCGTGTTTTTCATCGTGTCGTCTCCCCTGTGTCGTGTTTTTATCGTGTCGTCTCCCCTGTGTCGTGTTTTTCATCGTGTCGTGTCCCCTGTGTCGTGTTTTTCATCGTGTCGTCTCCCCGTATTGTGTTTTTATCGTGTCGTCTCCCCGTATTGTGTTTTTATCGTGTTGTCTCCCCGTGTCGTGTTTTTATCGTGTCGTCTCCCCTGTGTCGTGTTTTTATCGTGTCACCTCCCCTGTATTGAGTTTTTCATCGTATTGTCTCCCCTGTATTGTTTTTATCGTATCGTCTCCCCTGTATTGTGTTTTTCATCGTATCGTCTCCCCGTATTGTTTTTCTCGTGTCGTCTCCCCTGTATTGTGTTTTTATCGTGTCATCTCTCCTGTATTGTGTCATCTCCCCTGTATTGAGTTTTTCATCGTATCGTCTCCCCTGTATTGAGTTTTTCATCGTATCGTCTCCCCTGTATTGTGTTTTTATCGTATTGTCTCCCATGTATTGTTTTTATCGTATTGTCTCCCATGTATTGTTTTTATCGTATTGTCTCCCATGTATTGTTTTTATCGTATCGTCTCCCCTGTATTGTTTTTACCGTATCCCCTGTATTGAGTTTTTCATCGTATTGTCTCCCCTGTATTGTTTTTATCGTATCGTCTCCCCTGTATTGTGTTTTTATCGTGTCATCTCCCCTGTATTGAGTTTTTCATCGTATCGTCTCCCCTGTATTGTGTTTTTATCGTATCCCCTGTATTGAGTTTTTTATCGTATCCCCTGTATTGAGTTTTTTATCGTATCGTCTCCCCTGTATTGTTTTTATCGTATCGTCTCTCCTGTATTGTTTTTATCGTATCGTCTCCCCTGTATTGTTTTTATCGTATCGTCTCCCCTGTATTGTTTTTATCGTATTGTCTCCCCTGTATTGTTTTTATCGTATTGTCTCCCCTGTATTGTTTTTATCGTATCCCCTGTATTGAGTTTTTTATCGTATCGTCTCCCCTGTATTGTTTTTATCGTATCGTCTCCCCTGTATTGTTTTTATCGTATCGTCTCCCCTGTATTGTTTTTATCGTATCGTCTCCCCGTATTGTGTTTTTATTGTGTCGTCTCCCCTGTATTGTTTTTATCGTATCGTCTCCCCTGTATTGTTTTTATCGTATCCCCTGTATTGAGTTTTTTATCGTATCGTCTCCCCTGTATTGTTTTTATCGTATCGTCTCCCCGTATTGTGTTTTTATCGTGTCATCTCCCCTGTATTGTTTTTATCGTATCGTCTCCCCTGTATTGTGGTATATTATATCATCTTCCCTATATTGTGATTTCTATCGGATTGTCTCATCTATACTGCAATATAAATCTTATATCTCCTGTAGTGATATACATTGTAATGCTCAGTGTTGTCATTTAACACTCATTAAACGGCAATGGTCTTCCAAAACATCCCATGAAAATAAATACTACCAACATTTGTTTACCTGTTTTTTAAGCAGATACATTCAAGCATCTTAGAGAAACATCTGTATGATGATTAGTTAGAGACCAGCGGGGGCCTAACGGACTCCAATACCTGTGCATCTGTCCGGTGTCCTGCTCAGAGTAAACCGCCACCGTGCGAATCCCTAGTTCAGTGCAGGCTCTGAACACCCTGATAGCTATTTCACCTGGAAGGAGAGCAGAAGCAGTGAGGTTATCTTGTAACATCTTACTCATTAACCTTTTTTATTTAAGAATCCATGTTCACAAAGACAATGGGTATTAAGTATGTAGAGTATTTTTACACCATCTCAAACACAGAACTAATATTTCCTCAAAGGAAAACAGAAATTACATGTATGGCATATATGTGAGGAGAAACACCATCTGTTGATCTTTACAGAAAAAAAGCCAACAAACATGGCTTCAAGGTGTGTTTTTTTTCTTCGGTAAAGTTAGAGCACGCTGTGTGCCATCTTATCTTTAGACCAAAAAAACAAACACTAACTTTAATCTTCCTGTCACAGGAAGCAAGCACTCGTTCCTCAAAAAGCACACGGTTTTAAAAAAAGGGGTTAAAAAAGCTCTAAGAGTAAGAGCTGGAAGGGATTGTTCTTATCTGAAGGAAAGGAGAGGGGACTTCATTCAAATGTTAGCGCAGTTTTTAACAAGTACGACTCTGGCGAGTGAAACAAGACCCGATAGGCTAATAAAAGGAGGAGATTCACAGAAAACAGTTCAAGATTAAAGGAACATGAAGGCAGAGACGACCAGAAAGACATCTTTAATAAAGTGGAGAGAGGGTAAATGAGTGAAGCCACAGGAGAGCAGCGAGGAGGACAACAAGTGTCTTAGAGGAAAATAACATGTGACAAGTGAAGAGAGGAGTGATGAGAACACGGAGCAGAGGAGAGAGGAGCTGGTTGAATTTGGAGCGCTCTCATCACTCACACACACACACACACACACACACACACACACACACACACACACACACACACACACACACACACACACACACACACACACACACACACAGAGATGGCTCTTCACTCCTGTGTGATGAAGTGATCTAATGCGATGCTGATAAGTCCTCATGCTGATGTGAAGCAGAGAGATTGACGGAGAAGCCTCTCTGTGAGGATAAAGCAGGAGGCCAGCGCCTTTAGAGTGAAAATTATGGATTTAGGCAGTCAGACGCTGCCTTTGGAGCAGAAGACTGACATGGATGTGTGGCGGGAGGCCGACCCGAGTGCCACATGCAGTTTAATTGGGACCCGGTCTGAAACCCACAGACCGGTTGAACATTGTGTTCAGCGGAAGGCTCTAAAAGAGCTGCTAAATCAAATGTCTCACTATTTCTGATTTAACGGCTTCATGCCACCTGACAGAGTTAATAATGGAGCAGGAATGCCTTCTCCGGGCCGCGCTGAAGCCACGGAGTCCGTTTGTGTTGCTTTTTGTTTGCAAACCTCTCGGCTTCAGTTATGATTCTGCTCCCTATTCTACGCCCTAGAGGGAGTCGATAAAGGCCTTGCTTCCTTGCCGTAAACCTGCGACGTATGAAGTTACATCCCACACTGCTGAGTCGTAGGGAGACGGGGTTCCTCATATGCCAACAGTATTCCCAGGTTTTCTTTTTAAGAGAAAAAGCAAACAACAGTGGAGCAGCCGCCCACACCGTGTGTTTAAGTATTAGCATGTGGGGAGGAGAAACTAAACGCTGGCCATTAAAAATTCAAACATCCAACAGTCTCTTTGCGCCTCAGGACAACTTTAGATGTCATGAGATTTTCTTCCATTATAAATGAAACTTCATCTTTAATCCAGCCGGGCTGCGTGGGTGAGAGGGTGAGGGTCAGGGTGAGAGGCATACCTCGGTTGGCCACCATGACTTTCTTGATGGGTCGATACTGGGCCTGTGGGGCGGAGTGGGACGATCGGGAGAAGAGGCATGCCCTCCTGACGGCCAGCAGGCCAAGACCGCCCCGGACTACGGCAAACTGCAACATCCTGAGGAGAGAAGATGACGGGTTCACAAAATAATCCCAATCATTTCACAGATTAAAAGAAATGCTTTTTATTTCTAGTGTTTACACCAATGAACCAGTTTTTAACTAAGAAATGTTCGACTCATTTAAACCAAGAAAACAATCCGAGTTAATCCGCTCAGGTACTTGTTAGGGAAACGTTCCCGTTTAGATGTTGGTTTAGGAGGATGGGCTTTCCCTGGTGGAGCAGGGATCAGGAGAATGGATTTACAAACTAAAACAATTAAAGATCCTGTCGTGTGTTCAGCTTTCAGTGTTTTCTCACCAAATACTAACAGGGCCTGTGCTAATATTTAGTAGTAAACCAGGATTATTGTGGGATTAACGGAGAACCAGAAGAACACAGAGCATAAATCTGGATGTTGTGGATTAAGACGGTGACAAGGTTTGTAAAAAGCAGAAAATCTAAGAGCTTTTATGACAATTATTATCTGATTTATACACATTTTATTCTAACATAATACAAAACATGATGTCTGAAGGGATTTGCTCATTTCTGAATGAAACTGCATAACGATTGCACGAAGCAGATAAAAGTCGAGTGCAAATTAAATGCATGGAGAAAAACAACCTAATGGCAATGACAAATAAAGTAGAAAAAAAATATCAAAATATGTTGAATCAAGTTTAAAAAGTCAACACAAAAGTAGTCAGAGCAGCAGAGAGACGACGAGCAATCTTCATGTGACTTTAAGCATCATGGGCAGCGTTCACGAGTGGAAACGTGAAGCAGGTTTGCTAAACTTTAAGGTTAAAATTATAAAATGAAATTCATTGGGAGCCAGTGAAGCCAGGCCAGAACAGGAGTGGTGTGTGTTCTTTTACTTTGCAACAGGTTCTAATTAATTGTGCAACAAACTTCCACTGAAAAACTCTTTATGAGTGTGTGAAACCATTTAAAACTGGCTGAGTGTATGAGTAATGTCAGAGGATGGTCACCTATGCAGCTACAATTGGACATGTGCAACAAAACAATAGCATGACCTTAAAGGGTAACAAATTAAGACATAAGACTAGAGTTGTCACGGTAACCGGTGTAGCGGTAAACCCCGGTAAAAAAAGTTGACAATAATAATAACCGCCTTGTTTTTAAAAAACTATATTATCTCGGTGGATTACCGTGGCTGCGGTGTAGGCGCGGTGACCCTTACCAGCCACCGTATCATCTGCTGAAGTTGCCGGCGGCACATGCGCACTTTGTTGTTTACAACCTAAACTTTCTTGAAGCTAAAGCTGAAATAATGGCCAAAGGAGGAGACGGCAGCGCTCAGGAGGACATTTTTTATCCCTCAAAGAAGACAAAGTGGGAAGTACGGGCATCTTTTGGATATTTGAAGAATGCCGAGGGACAGTTGATAGAAGACGGCTATCCTGTTTGCAGCACGTGCAGAAAAAGTGTCTGTGAAAGGCAGCAACGCTTCAAATCTCATGACACATCTGCGTGACCATCACCCACAACTCTACAGTCAACGCAAGGCAAGCTAACGTTAGCGTTTTAGCTAAAATGCGTGATCCGAGGATTTGGGTTGAGGGAGAATGCAACGAGTCGCTATATAAAGCAGCCGCAGCGCCGCTACCTGCATATAAACCGTGTCGCGGACACCGCCATGTTGAAATGACGCTATGCATTACGGGGCTCCCAGGGGCAGATAAGAGTTGGTCTCTCTCCGAGAATAATTATGAATTTAACAATGATTACTGCCTTATGACATTTTCCCACATCTGCAAAGCTCACTGGAAGGACACAAACCGAGGACGATATTTTCCTGATATACAGGGATTATGTAGTTGTCTGAAAATGTAACACGTTTAAAAAAATACCGCGATAATACCGAAAACCGTGATCATTTTGGTCACAATAACCGTGAGGTTACATTTTCACACCGTGACAGCCCTACATAAGACACTTTTGCAAAGGAAAGGTTTGTGATGTGTGCATTAAAGTTGTAATTTGCAGTTTCATCAAAAGGAAAAAAGAGTAAAAAAACACCAATTTTGTATGATTCCAACTAAAAACAAACATTATTTCATAATGTCAGAAAGCCTGCATGTTAGGGAACTTGTAAGATAAAAGCATCTGCAGAATAAACAAACACGATCAATAGCTGGCAGCTGCAGCCCAATTACACACCAGAGAGAAAACACTCTTCTGTTTATGAAAATGAGTTATTGTTCAAGTCTACATGCTCTGGTGAGATTGCACCAACGTTTCTCTGAAACTTTTTTCAAAGCATCTATAAAAACCTGAGCTGGATTACTTTATTACAGCAGGAATGAGAGCCACCATGTCTCCGTCTGCTGACAGGATTAAGCTGGATCTGACATGAAAAGCATTAAATACGTTAACCTAAAGTCTGGATCTGCCTGGGCTGTGCCGGAGCGTCTCTAAACCAGTGGTTCTCGCTGCTGGTCCTCAAGGGCCGGTACCCTGCACGTTTCTGTTGTTTCTCTGCTCCAACACACCTTATTCAGTGGTTGAATCACCAGTTCAGCAGCTCATCAAGCGCTGCAGAAGCCTGTTCATCACCTGCTGATTGAAACCGGGTGTTTTGAAACGGGTTAAAACAGAAATATGCTGGATACCGGCCCTCCAGGACCAGGAGTGAGTACTTAAAATAGCCACGATCAACTCCAGCATCTGGAACGCTGCTCTGATGTGTTTTGCAAAACAGTCACGAGGTCCTAGTTAGATGGCAGGAAGCAGGTTTTCTGCAGTCTAGTGAAACTCACTAAAGCTTTCCTCAAATTTAGATCCAATTCATAAAGCAACACTGTGCCCAGAAGCTATTTTCCAATTTATGATGGACAAGTTATGACTTGTTCTCAAATTTCTTTAGGATATATAGGAAAATTAGGGGATTTCAGAAGCTTTTGTGTGTAAAAATCAGCTGGCCCTCAGTTGTCTTAACATTTTTTATATAAACATGAGTGAAAAGTGGGAGCTGCAGTGTGTTTATGGGGAGAGAAAAAAAGAATTTCAGGTTTATTTTGTTGAAATATAGCTTTACAGGTAGTATGTAGGCGAATACACCATTAGTCTCACTACTGGTACGGCAAAAACTTCTCTGGATTATCTTCTGAGTTAATCTGAGAGCCAATGAGCTGCTACTCCATCCACCAGCTGCAAGAGCATCTAATTAGAGACCACGAGCTTCAGGTGTGTGACGTTCGGCCAAATTACTACAACAACACCAAGGCTGCCAATTAACAATCATGTACACCGCTCTCATTAGTCAGTTTCAAGTCACTGAAGTGAGCAAAAAGAACATTTCTCCCGAGGAGCAGCAATCAGAGCTCCTCTCTGAAAACCCTAACAGTTATTAGCCATCATGTACCGCTAGTCGCCAAGTTAACCGGTAAAATCTCACCTTCAGGCCAATTAACAAGGCGCACTTGGGCTGTGAACGCAACCGCACGTGTGCCGCGTTTTCACAACAGCATGACACGAGAGAAAACGTGCAAACTGTTAAACTAGCTTACTAGAGTAGAAGTAGAGGAAGCTGTGGACTTCTTCTGCTCTGAGCGCCTCCACTGACGGTCTGCTGCTGACATCTAGTGGCCTAACAGCAGTACTGCAGCTAAGTGAGACCATTTCAACAATAAAGGGCCAAGTCTACAACATAAAATATACGTTTTCAACAATAGTTTAAACTAAAACATGTTATTCTGTAAAATATTTTTTTGTTTTCATTTACTCCTAGTTACTTTTTTACTCTGGTGCTGAGATACTTTATAGATGAATTATTTAAGAATTCACCCCATAGAAACCAGAATTAGACGCTGTGTGGCATGAACATGAGGATAAAATGATTATATTTTCCTTTTATCTTTTAGAACAGCCCTGTTACTGCATGATGAAGTACCACAGTAGGAGTACTGGTATAAGATAGCACTTTGAACACCCTCAGCTTGAGAAAATAGAGATTAGCTCAGACTCCACAAGAAACGAGTGTTCTGTCACTTTGAGAGCGTTGGCTGAAGAAACTCGGGCTGTAACAATACACGGTTTCTAAACAAAAGCAGCAGTGTCCCGGTGTGCAACAGATATGGTTTCTCAGTTCGGGGAAGAAACAGACCTCAGAAATAATAAGCTCTCCTTACATGTTTGCGCCATTTTTACCTCTTCTTTTCCAAATGTGCCTTCTCTTTTGTGACCCAAATATGTAAAACACTGCTTTTAGATGTGCTAAATATTAGGTTTTCTTTGTCTTTTTAGCAGCTAGCAACTTTTTAAGTGAAGGACGTTTAACTGGATATTTCTGAATGCAAGTGTGATACAATGAGAGAAGAAAAGGAAACAAAAGAATCTTTCTGAGCGACTCAATCCTCCATAAAATCCAGCCGTAGCTCGGAAATCTAAAGCTCTGGAAAAAGTCACATGATCTCATCTGTAAGGAGATTTTCTACATGCTCTGCAGAAGAAAAAAAAATAACATCCCAAAACCTGAAAGATTAGGAATAAAATAAAAGATGCGTTTGGGTTCCCAACTTTTGCATGACAACAAAACTCTGAATTTTCTTACTTTAACAGCAGGTTAGCTCCAGAGGAAAGGCTCGCGCCGATGGGCGTTTTCTGCAGTTTGGTTTCCTTTCTCATCACCAGAGCTAAATTATTCTTTAGCTCTGGGTTATTAAGCCTTTCACAATGTTGTACTTGTCTTTACCTAGTCTGGCTATGCGAGTAAAGTCAGGATTATTATAATCCTCTCAACCAGTCAGGAGGCTTTATACACCCATAGTCACTGATAATGTCCGGCCACAGGGTAAAAGACAACTTCTGCACAACTGTAGTTTCATTTAACATAAATACGAAGTTTGTAAGAGAACAGATTTGTTTTCATGAGTTTTGTTGGTTTTCTGGCTGATTTGACTGAAATCTCACAAAAACAACATTTTATGAAACAAAAAAAATGGCATTATTGAGTTTGTGACCTGTATTTTAGTCCTGCTGAGATTCCAATA